GTCAGAAAAACATGAAGATGGGAGAGAGTTCCAAAGGATTGAAGTGCGGGGGAAAAAACTAGATGAATAAAAGTTTTTAGAGCATGCAGGGACAGATACAGTAAACGAATGACACTTAGCTGAATGACGAGTAAAACGAGAATGAATTTTAGTTGATGGAACAAGAGATGATAACTCCTTTGAGCAGTGACCATGATAGTATTTGTAGAAAAGAGAAAGAGATGCAACTTTACGACGATGGGAAAGAGGCTCAAGCTTAGCAGAAAGTCCAGGTCAAACAACATTTACAATGCGTTTTTGGACCTTGTCAAGAAGAGAAAGTGAATCGTTAGAAGAACCAGCCCAAATATGACAACAGTATTCCATACAGGGACGAATAAGAGATTTGTAGAGGTAGAGAATGGAATCAGAAGTAAATGGCGAGCACGATAAAGAGAAGCAACCTTAGCAGAAGCTAATTTAGCAATTGATTGTATATATGGTTTCCATGAAAGGTCAGTAGTAAGCGATAATCCAAGAAGACGTAAAGAGGAGGACTCAGTAAGAGGATTGCCATTCATTAATATAGGAATGTTGACCATATTACGGTAGTTGTTTGCAGTAAACAACTGGGTTTTGTTAGAGTTGAAATTCATCGGATCGGATTCAAGATCAGCTGCTTGTTCTAGGCAATCGAAAAGAGAAGACTTTTTGTCAAGACAGGAGTATAAAGTTGAGTCATCAGCAAAAAGAGCTACTTTAGATGAAAGGTTGTCAGGAAGATCGTTTATGTAGATAAGAAACAAAACAGGGCCCAGGATGGAACCTTGGGGAACCCCAGAAGTTACTGGAAATAAAGAAGAGTGTTGGCCTTCAAGGATGACTTTAATAAACCGGTTAGAAAGAAATGATTTGATAATCTCAAAAACTTTCCCAGAAACACCATATGAAGCAAGCTTATGGAGAAGACCAGCATGCCAAACTTTGTCAAAAGCTTTAGATATGTCGAGAGCAATAGCCTTAGCCTCACCGCCTCCATCTAATGCACGATAAAATTAATGATTACATTAAATATATAACATTACTCAGTTATCAATTAACCAATTTCATATTAATTTATATATAACTTTAGTTAAAGTTCTTTATAGAAACATTTTATCTTTACACATTGCTATTTTAGATAAGTTAAGAAAGAAAACTAAAAGTTTAATCTTGAAATAAAAGTGCAAATTTTATATCAGGCATCATTTTTACACACTCCTTTGATGATTAGTTATGTCTGATAACTAAAGAAGTAAAATTATAAGGCTTCATTAAAATTAAAGAAAAAAGGCTAGGCAAAATGAATTTAACCATCGCCAAAATGAAAGAGATAAGCCTAGGTGAGCTGAAATAAACTGCCATATAAATAAAAGATATCATGATAGGTGTTATAATTCCTTTTTACCTTTTGTTTCCTTCACAGCCAAAATACCTCACCCTACAAATAGTTGTCCTTTCTGTTTTGGGTTTATGGCAATTTTTGAAATTTTAAGGCCTGAACAAAGTTTTCTACCCACATATTGTCAATTAAATATATATGATCCTAATGTAGCAGCATCATTCAGAATGGTGGAGCCTGGTAGTGGTGGTTGTATAAATGAGTTAATGCAACTCTTACAAACTTGAAATAATCAAGAAAACCCATTTGCTTCTGCATTTAAAAACATGGCTAAAGTAGAGGAGAAAAATAGTGATGGTGGCACAATTAACTGTAGCATTGTGTTACTTTGTCCCTGTATTATAGTTATAGGTTTGCTGTTAGACAAACTTTTAGTCCTAAATACAAACTAATTAGTCTTATATAATTAATGTTTAATTTAATGTTGCTTACTCATTCGTAATCATAAATATATTCTGATTATATTTATATAATCTATTTTATATTAAGTATATTATTACATTATGTTTCATAAATGTGTAAATTCCTGTAATATACAAAGTCCTTCAATGTGTGTTATGTGTAAGTGGTTATGTTGTTTCCATGGCTTTAAAGTGTTGTGACTTGGCTTGTGAGTTTACAGCAAGAGTATAGTATTATTATTTTATTTTTTTATACCTAGCTCTTCTTCTGGCTCAATAAGTGTTTTTGTACTCATACTTGACTTAGTACATTAATTGATTGCTTTTATTGTACAATACTGTTTTATAATACTGAAGCCATTTTTAAAAAAGCCTTATAGTAAAAAAAATAAATTTGACTTTTTTACAAAATAAGCTAATTTAGATACCTACAAACGTTATTGAAAAATTTTCAAAGAATTTGAATAAAATCATAAAAATTTTTAGTTTTAAAAAATGTTTTACAAAGAGGTTAACTAATAAATTTTATATTTTGTTTTTCCTGATATATGTAATAAGCATCTTAAGTCGTACAAATATTTCTTTTAATTCAATCAATCAACGTAATAAGTCAAGTTTAAGTGAGTACAATAGTTTTATTGTTTTACTTATATTTAAGAGTTATATACACTTATATTTAACTTCTTGCATAGATTGATTACTTTTATTGTAATTTTAATTTTTATGTAGCTGCAGCTTCTTCTGCTTCAACAAGAAAGATGTTGTACTCATATAATTGACTCACTACATTAATTGTTTTTATTATTTATATTTTTTTAATATTAGATTTTTTATAAGTAGTATCTTCCCTTTAAATAATTATGTCTATTCATGCTACATTAAATATGTTGCATTTTCTAAAACCAAGTCATTTGCATTACACATGCATAACAAGTCATTTACATAACATTTGCATATACACATGCATAAAGAAGGTATGTCATTGAATGAAAATTTCACAAATGTTATATTTGTAAATATCCTTAATATATAGTTTTTGACAAGTATTTTTATGTGTCATATGATTGGTAATTTGTTAGTGTTTCTATATGTGTGCTGTTAGTAGTTAAAATACAAACAATAAACTCTGTATAATTCAATAACCCTTAACATAAACTAATTTTAAAACTTCATTTGAGCCTTTATTTATGGATTATACTGGCAATAACTCTAGCATTCTCAGACAAGCTAATATCTTGGTCCCTTTTAAGGTTTGAGTAATTTAGAATTTACTGTAATATGTTATGTTGTTTTTTTAATTTTGTGATGTTAATTTTGTGTTGTTTTGTGTTGATAGATTAGATGGCTAGGTTTACTTTCACGTCAAGATCTTTAATTTAAAATAATTATTGGCTAGTTTCATTACTTAAACTGACTACATATAATCATTTGCTAAAATGCTAAAGATTCAGTTTTTAAATTAAAAAAAGTATCTTATTGTGATCATAAATTTTTAGTTAATCCAAACTTGCAACATTAAATCTTGAAATACTCACAAAAGATCTCACAAAGTAAGTATTTTATTTATTATCTGTTTAGCCACATTTTTGAGTTTTCAAATAAATAAATAGAGAACATAACAAATTAATATGTATTAAGTGTATTTAATAATAATTTTGTTCTATTTTTAGGTCGAATTCCTTATCCTGTGACTGAAATGTTCTGAATGTCGATTGTATTCAAAAAGCTAAAACGAAGCTTGATAATCTTCATACTATTTAATAAAAGATATATAATAATGAAAGAATGTTTCAAATTAAATTGTTTTTATAAGTATTTTTAAATATATAATTTTTTTGCATTTTTTTTTTTTTAAGTTAATTTTTTTATTTTATCTCAAGAAAATTTTTTGTTTGTTTCTCAAATAAATTCCTTTATTTTTTGTCTTTTGAATTATTGTTTTGAATGGATATATATTGGCTATTTTTGCTTCATTTTTTATATTTCTGATATTTTTTTATGTATGAATGGAAACCATTTATACTTTCATCACTTTTTGTACGATCAAGACGGTTTCCATTACTATTAAGTATCAATCGCACAAACAACATGTTTAAAAATTTATTTGCCTAATTCCTGAATTAAAACAGTTTAATTGTATGAATTCGTTAAGAGTGTTTTTACGGAAAGGCTTTTATAAAATATATAAAATAGATAAAGCTAACTTATTTGAAATAAATAGGTCTCTTGGGGCCATTCTTTAATGTCCAAAATCCTTATGAGAGTGTTAAAATATTATCAGAGCCTAAGTTTCACGCAACTGTTTTATAGTAAAGATACTTTTATTATGTAGAAAATATTAAAGTAAATAAGTAATAAGTAAAAATACTAATTAGTTCTTAAGAACAGTAAATTAGAAATCAAAAACTTTAGGTAGTCAGTAAAATGCTAACTATGTACTTTTTAGCGAACCAAGACATTTTAATGACCACAACAGTCATGATATTAAAAACATTTGCTCATCGATTTTTTAAATTAAATATATTGGTATTCTATATATTTTATTAAAATTAGACTTCTCTTTTAAATTAATTATAATTTAACAAGCAATAGATTTATGGTTCGCAATTAAAGTTCGCATTTTACCATCTAACAGAACTTTAAATTGATTTATTTGTTGCTGTTTACTAAAATAAATTAAAATTAGACTTGCTACGACCCATATCGTACGGGTCATACCAGCTAGTATGATATTATTATTTTTTAAGGTTTTATAAAAAAATTGTCAAAACAACTTTTATTTTATTTTTAGTTCCTACTATTTTAATTTCTTCAAGTTTATACCTTTTTTTTTATTAGTATATAAATTCAATTAACTAAATTGAGAAAAATTAACTATAATGTATCAATGGATAACAGTTTACATCATTATGTCATTGCATATAATTATCATTAATAAACACACTTTGCAAATGCTAAAAAACTGTTTTTAAGAAGAAAAAAAATTAAATTCGATAAGGATCTTATCTTCTATAAAATATTTAACTTATAAACTAGAATAAAAATTATTTGAAAATAAAACTCCCTTATTTGAAATATATCTCTTGAATTAGGCATTTGTAAATAATTATACGAGTGTCAACATTTATTTAAAAAAAAAACAATTTGCTGCACCCTGAAACATATATATAAAAAAAAACCTTTATTCCAGTTGGTCTATGTTCTGCTAAATGGACTTCTGCAAACCCACCTAAAAAAGATATTTAAAAATGTACAAAGATTTTTTTAAAGAAATAATTTTAGATTAGATATTTAAATAATAAATCTCTATAGACAACAGAATAAATCCTATTGTTAAAACATATAAAATAGGGAGGATAAAGTATGCAAGGATTGAATTAAGCGATTGCAAACTGAAAAATCCGAAAAAATATCTGGTCTTCAAAATTTTAGTTTATGCAAAATTGTGTTCTTTGTTTTCAAGAGGCGAATCAACTTAAATTTCTTGGCGAAAAAGTTATAAAAAATAAAATAATAAACTTACGACTACAAAAGTAATAACACTCTAGTAATTAACTGCATTATAAAAGTAATAACACTATAATAGTGTTATTACTTTTATAACGCACTTATAACTTTTCTAACTCATTCTTAGTTCAAACAACATAAGTAATTCCAAATTTTAATTGAAGTAGAAAAGCATCTAGAAAAACAGAGTGGATATTCAAACAATATTTAAAACTTATTAAGGAACTTAACTGCGAAATATATATGCACAATGCCAGTCTAGAATCACAGACATATGCGTGTATATATATTTATTTGTATATATACATACACAGGGTGTAAACTAGCCCTGTGTGGCCCCATCAAATGTGGTATTCCGAAATGCTTATAAAATTAAAATTCCCAATTTAAATGTGAGAAAGTCCCATTCACCAAATTAAAGTTAAATAATAATTCTGAAAATTACTGAAAATTAATTATTGTTAAAAACTAATAGAAAAATAATATAAGAAATTCTAATTTAATTATTGTGTAAAACTTGAAATAAAATTGCCATTATTGGTATAACTACTCGATTGCATAACTTAAAAATGTCTCTTGGAAGAAAATTTTTGAGAATTGGATTTTCCAAGCAATTTTAAGGATTTTTTTGGTAACTTTCCTGTAAAATTTATTTCTCAAAATTTGCAAATAATTCTTCGCAATGTGTTCCAACAACAGCAAATAATATATAAAAAAGTTAGAAATAAATAAAAAGCAATCTAAAAAAAAAAAAAATTGTTAGATTTAACACCCACAAATGCTATTTCTTTACAAGTTTTGGCCTTTTTGGCTGAAAAGTTAAAAAACATAAAGTCTTACTGCAAACTTTTCTTCAATTGATAAATGTGCTTTGTCAAAAAATATATTGATAAACCGTTTAGGTAAGATGTTTTTGAAATTTTGATCAATTACAGATATTACGGTCTTTTAATTATTGTTTTTCTTTTTTAGTTTGGTATTTTATATCAACTGAATTAGATGATCCCATCAACTAAAATCCTCTTTACTTATCTACTATCACTTCTTAACTAACTTTTTTAAAAGATCACGTCTGAATTTTAAGTTAAATACAAAAAATGTTTTATGATTATAACAAACTGGTACTAAAAATTTATTTAACGAGGAAAATAGATTTCTTTACTTTACTGCTTGCTTTTATTTAAAACATAAATTAAATATGTTTAATAACAAGAATGTTTTTTTTATTACAACAAACTGGTACGAGAAATTTTTAAAACAAGAAAACTAAATTCACTGTTTGCTTAAATTTAAAATGTAAAAGCAAATGTAAATGCTTTAATAACATAATCATAATAACATTTTATGATTATAAATGAAAAAAAAGTTATTGATATTCTTCGTTACCAAGATAGCATGTGACTGCTTGCGATCAATAATCTTTTGTAACTAAACATTTTTTTTTGTTTTTGCTCAGACTTTGTAACTTTATTTTGCTATGCGATTTATGGATATATAAAATTTACATTAATTACAAATATGAAAGTTATGAGCTCGGGTTTACTATTTTCAAAACCCTTTTTATTTTTCTATTTTTAAAACATATTATTTTGATTACACAATTTATTACATGATGGTGTTTGTTCTTTTAAGAGCAGAACTTAAATAATAATTAAAAGTAGAAGATCATTGGCTCTCCTCTGAGAAGATTTTTATAGAACATAAATCGCTATATTACTTTAAAATCTTCCTTTAACGCCCACCAGTAAAAAAAGAAATTCATATTCAAAAGAACACACTTAAAATGAAAGCTGCAACGATATATCAAGATTACAAATAAATCAAATATATTATTCTTAATAATAATTAATTAATATACGCATTTTATATTATCTTTTAATATAAAAATATATAATTCCCAATATAATTTTGTAAATCGGAGCTTAATTTGCCATGTCATTGTGAAACCACTTTTAATTTTGTGTTGATTTCATATTTATCTTCAATAAATGTTACAGATGGTATTTTATTTAATTTTTGCTGTCCAGTCAATGTATGCAACGCCAAAGTTGAGTAGAAGAAAAAAGGAAAAGGATCCCATGCATTCCCAGAACACATTTTAATCTCAGGGAAGGGGAAATATATTGACAAATTCCTAAATATTGTTGAAACGCTGTATCAAATTTATTCCTGGTTAACACCCTGATACACATATATACATACCAGGCTTTCACAGGAAGGCGTGCGATTTCACGTCTTTAAATGACCACACAAATTACATTTTGCTATGACGATTTGACCATGGCTAATTCAAAAAGCATTTTAAAAACGCACTAAATGAAGAATATTCTAAAAAAGTGAAATTAATTACATCAAAACTTTTTAACAAATGTTTTTATATTAGCAAAACGATATTAAATAAAGTAACAATTTACTGAAAATGTTTTTTTTTTTTAAATATAATTGACAGTTGTATATATTTTTTTAATTTATAACATAAATTGTTTAAGTGTTCATTTCTAAAATAAATGTTATTTAAAAATATAAAATTGTTTTGTGTTTATAAACGATGACATTCTACGACTAAGAAAGTCTCTTTAATGAATTTAAATATAAGAATAATTAAAGTTAATGCATTTAAAAAGATAAACAAAATTTCGTTAAAAAAAAAGGTTTAGAAAGCCATTACAGTTTAATAAGTCTTAAATGCTTTTATATGATCGAAACGCTTTTTAATGAAGTAAAAAAAAAAAACTACTAATTGATTTAAAAAAAAAAAGTATTCATAAAATGTTTTTTTTTTTTAATTCATATATTTATGTATTTTTTATGAGAAATGTTTAACTTTTGAAACACATTAAATAAATAAAAAATATATACAAATGTTGAAACAAAGATTAAAATATTTTTTTGCATAAATTAAATAGACTAACTTGTCCAGCACTTGATACAATTTAACATTTCAGTAAAAAATTTGTTAATGTATACTCAGTGTTAGTGGCCTTTGGGTCCTTCTGTTGTTTTCAAATAAATAAATAAATAAAATAGACTAATCATTTTAGTTTGATGAGTTTTGTTTTAGTTACGTTATATATATATATATATATATATATATATATATATATATATATATATATATATATATATATATATATATATATATATATATATATATATATATATATATATTTTGTTTTTTGTTTTTGCTTTAACTAAGTATTTTTTTTATTTTCTCTTTCGTTAAGATTTTTTTTCTTTTTACAATTTTTTTTTAGATAAGTTTAGGTAAGTTTTTGTAGCGCATTTTTTAAATTTTGAAAATATGTCGGAAGCCATGATCAAATCGTTAAAACATATTATTTTTTGTGTGGTCATATAAAGACGTGAAATTGCATGCTTTCCTGTGAAAGCCTGTTACATACATACATACATACATACATACATACATACATACATACATACATACATACATACATACATACATACATACATACATACATACATACATACATATAAAAGGTATCCCAAATTTAACGCAAGATTTGAATTAAATAGAAAACACAGTTTTTAGTCTTTTGATTGTAATTGTTTTAATGAATCATAAAGTATATAGGATATGGTTAATTATGGAATAACACATAGAAAAATGGCTACCACCGTTTTCTATATTATATCATGGCTACCACCATTTTCCATAACATATATATATATATATATATATATATATATATATATATATATATATATATATATATATATATATATATATATATATATATATATATATTCTACATTTAAGATAACTTCAAAACTTTCATTTTGGGTTTCTTGGAAGATCGCGGGGTACAGAGATGGCAATAGTTGTTGAAAATATATATTGGCAAGGATTCTACAATCTTTTTTTGAAACATTGGTAAATCCATAAAAGTCAGAAACCATCAAAAAACAGTTAGATAAGCTAACACAACAGACAAAAGTGTAAAGATGATGAAATAAAATGTATGAACAAAATAGCCAATGGCAGTTGATATCTCCAGGCAAACTTAAACCACCGCAATTAATCTCTCTGACATAATCTCCAAACTGCTCAAAACAAAATGATGTATCTTCAACTAAAGGATCTTCCCTATTGACATAGCCCACAATGTAAACCAAAGACATTTTAATTTCTTTAGACAAATTGCTTTCAATAACTGGAAGATTATGAAACACATTGAACAAAATATCATCTTGCAATACATAATTACATTTGTCACACAAATGACTAGATGATACTTCTAAATCATTAGCAGTGATACCAATATTTAGACAAAGTTTTGTTTTTTTAATGTCAACTTTTTGTAATATTTGCTGAACATTTATAAAATAGGTACCACCTGATGCTTGCCAAAGTTTTCCAAATGCTTTCTCAATAGGGTCACTAGTAAAATGTAGTTAGTAAATGTTTTACTAGTTCAACCATCCTATGACATGTATGGGAAAAATCTGGAGAAGTATCTTTGGGTAAATTTTTTAGTATATCACCTTTTTTATTTTACCAAATTTATTATTATTTACACCAAATTTTAGTATATGACCTTATTTTTCAGGAGCCATTTTTTCGACCATATCAGCCAAATTTAAAAAGAAAGTTCAATTGTTTATCATTGTTTGATGAAAAAACAGTATGATATCTCTAGTACAAATATCTTCATAAAGTCCTTTAACATTAACAATTTTAAAAAAATTTTATGAAAATAGATA